TCAAACACTACGTAAAAAATGAAAAGCAAAAAATTCCCTAAGTTGACCACTGGTTTCCTGATTTTTCCCCTCTCAGTAATTTTGTAAGTATAATCATAAGTCATGCCTTAACTTCATCACTATATATATATATTTTGCTAGGTATTTATTTTACAATCAATTACATTTTGAACAAACCATGTTTTAACATTCTATCCATTTAGATAATCAAACAGTATAGTTGGCCTATTTTTAAAACACTAAACTTTGTTAAAGATGTTTTGTTTAAAACAAAACTGGCTTAAAATTTAGCTGCAACTGTTCCACTTATTTATTTATTTATTTATTTATTTAGTTAGTTAGTTAGTTAGTTGATCCTCTCTGTATGTGCATGTATACATCAAACCCAAACTCCCTTTTGTGACTGTAAGATTAATTTGATATATCAATTATTCTTATGCTAATCAGCTTACAGTTTTACAGGTTAGTGTTGCAGATGCTTCCAAAAATGTAAATACTTTTCTTTGGATTTTGTTTTCTTCTCTTTTTCTTCTAGATATCAAAGGCTCTCACAAAGCCTTTAAGAATTATGCGACAATATTTGCATACTTTCGTCCTCAATAATTCAGCATATCACACACAGCACCAGTGCAGTGTAACAGACCCCCACACCTCCCAAGAGGCTGTGATTCTGAACTTTTCTTTTTTTATGTTTACATCTCCTCATCAATACTAAAGGCTTCTGTTGAATTAGGCCCACCTCAGATTTATGAAAGTAATTGTGCTGGAATTTTAGAAAACAAAGAGAAAATTGACATAAGTAACCTGAGGGTGAGGGCTAGAGATCTGATGTGGAGGGCCTAGTGGGCTGTTTAAAAAGTAATTTACATCTTCTTTTTGTATTACTCCTTTAGAGACACAAACATAAAAACTAGTATTCTCATACATGCTATTAATTATGCAAATGAGATAATATGCACTTCAACATTTTTTTTTTAAGATTTACAAAATTAAAAAATTTCCTAACCAGGGCCTAGAATCTCTCAAAAGCTCTGACTCCTTTACTTCATGGCCAGGCCAAATAGCACACATATTTGACGTATTTGATCTATGCTTAAATTCTATTCATAAGCCAATACAATGCTGAGACTGTTAGCTAGGTCAAAAGAAGCTTATCATGCAGGCTTTCATAGTCTTCAGTATTTAACTGTTATTTTATTTTTTATGGGCTATTATTTGGGGCCAGTGAAGCTCAAAATATCTCTAACAATGGGGCTAATCACAAGCTCATCCACAGCTAGTATGCATTTTCCTTTTTTATAGCACTGACCTGATTCCGACACATCTTCCACACTGTCTTTTTGCAGCACATGCCACTTTATAGCCTCTTGATTTCACTGTCTTGTGCTTCCCTCACACCTAGATTTTTTAACCATGCTGCACGCCACACTATGGCTGTCGAGTACTTTAGAACAATCTTTACCAGAGCTGCATTATATGAAGCTAAAAATAACAGCTTAGACCCCAACCCCTCATTCATGCTTGCTCTCTGTCATGCACTCTGCCACTCTTCTTCTTTCCCTTCTTCTGATTGCTGAGTGGATGAGATGCAGGCAGCAGAGGTAAAGTGAGTAGAAACTCTCTGATAGGTCACAGCAGAAAACTGAAGCTTGCTATGATTTCACTTACACAGAGGGTACTAATAGAAAACTGTACAAGCAAATCAACCTAGAGAAATGGGCTGGACACATACTGGGTTAGGAAGATGAATACTACACCTTGCCACTGGATGATGTCTTCTGGTTCTTTATTTGAAAGCAATCTTCAAGCAAGTTTAGTAATGTAGGAGTAACAGATATTCAAACTGACATTTTGTAAATTCACATGGTGTAGTAATATAAACTGTGGCCCGGTGCATCTCGTATCACAGCTGCGGCTCCTGTCACTGAACACGAACTCCGAACCGCAAAGGCTTTACTGTTTAGGAAATGTCCCTCCCCCAGCTGAAATGGACATTCTGATTGGTTCTGCCTTTGAGTTTGACTCTCACTCTGATCATGTCTATTGGCCAGCGCTCCGTGTTCTTAATTTCTTCAGAATGCAAGCGATCTGAACTCCTTCATAAAGTGGTGGGTAGGTGAAATGCCTGCTGGATTGTTGACAGTGATGTCAAAACTTACTTTGCACTGTAGTGAAATGGCTGTGGTGACATTTACATTATTCATGCAGATACATTTTCAGTCTTGCAAAGAAGGTCTCTGTGAGGTGACAAAGCAAAATATGTGATTTAAAATTATTAAACTTTTAGACAGCATAGCTCAAGAACAACCAACAATGTCAATAACACAAATGCAAGGGAATAACATTTCAGACATTAAATTTTATTGCCTATAATTGGTCATGGTATATATAATCCATGCTAAAAAAAAAAAAAAAACAATTTAGTCAACATTTGACAAATCACTTTAATTCTGTTGCATCTAATATACACTTGGGGATCTAAACAAGGACATTCGGCGTTCTTTGGCATTACTAACTAAAAAAGGGGATTTCCATTGATTTTTCTAACTAAGTCAAATGTTAAGATGTAAACATGTTGTCCAGGATAGTTTGATGTCAAACTCTTTGTTCTAAAGAAACTTACCAAGTCGGAATTGTTCACATGGTGATAAAAACCAGACATCTGTAACAGTTTAATGCTTCTAAGCTATATCACAAAAAGTGTTTTCATGAAATCGTTATGAATACACTACCTGATGCCCAAGACATTGTTCTATGATCGTTTTGAGATGTTTGAGAGGAGTTTTGGGCTACAATGTACTTTTAAAATTCATTAATGATGCAGAGATACATGGAGAACAGTATGAGACAAAGTATTCCTCAATAAAACTTTTTCTTTTTAGATTTACTACTATTTTACCATCATCACCATCACATCTAAAAATTGAGAAGACGTGTTGGTTCAATGCTGGTGAATAAACATGAAATACACTGTCTAATACCTTATATATAGTTCTACAATAGTTTTGCAATAAGCTTTTTGCTTAAAACCTATTTTTAAAAATACATTCATGGTACATGCAGGTCCCCAGTAAAACATTTTTTGCTCTAGATTTTGCATTATTTTACGATCATGTTAGGACACATGTAGGTTCACTTACAGTTTAGGATGATAAATAAAATGGCTATATTTGTGTTGTAGACATTGTGACCCCTGGTTCCTATCACTACCACTGTAAAGAAATCAGAGTTGGTAAGTTTCTCTGCAATGAGCCATTTCACATCAAACCTCTCTGAATGACTTTGCTTACGTCTCAATAATTGAATTATGCATGCATTTTGAAAAATTGGTGGAATTCCCCTTTAAAGTGAGAAGACCTTTGTTAATGAACCACTGTTAGGAAATCAAAAACAACTGTCTCTCCAGTCATGTCAGGTTTGGAGACTGTTTTGCTGTCTAATAACTTTGCTAACTGACTGTCCTGAGCTTTGCCCTACCACCCCTCCATGTCAAACTTGGTGTTTCTTGCTGCTCCGGCCGACACAATCCATGCCAAAAGGCCTTGTTGCAGTGGGGACTGTTACCACTCTCTCCCTCTTCCCCTCCAGGTTCCCAGCTGCTTCTAGAGCCCTTAACAACTAGAGCTAACCCCCCCCCCTCACCCCTTCAGCCGCCACTACCATAATGAGAGAACCAGGGACAATGCTGGCATTGTTGGATACCTCGTCCCAAGAACAATAGCTGTTTACCCAAGCAGTTGTCCGACGCAAACTCTGCCGTTGATTGCTGTTGGGTGCCCTTGGGTCCCTCGTAACTCCGTCTCTTGCCCTGACACAATGGACTCTTTGACTGAGCCACTGTGAGCCCCCTATCAGTTTGGCCTCCATTCATCCTCTCCCCTCTCTGCAGCACTTCTCTATGTACATGCAGTTCCATCGTCTGCCTACAGAGCAATCACTGCCAGAATACTCTTGTTTAAGGCCTATCCACTGCTTAACATGAAGTCATTAAAATAAGCTAAGAATAAGATGAGAAGAGTTTGGGACAGTATATGTCTACAGATTTTTCGGATCTATTCTATGGGCACCCTAATAGTACTTGAACATTTCTGAATAAATAATTTGCGATGAGAGGTAGTCTCTTAAAAATACAGGTGCCAAAATGGGCTCTTTGAAGTCAGAGACAAAACAATTTTTTATGAGAAAGCTCAACTCCAGCAGCACTGCTGTGTCTGATCCACCCAGACCAGTGCAACACACACTAACACACTACCACCACATCAGTGTTACTGCAGTGCTGAGAATGATCCACCACCCAAATAGTACCTGCTCTGTGAGGGTCCATGGGGGTCCTGACCACTGTAGAACAGAGTAAAAGGCACTAACAAAGTATGCAGAGAAACAAATGGACTACAGCCTGTAATTGTAGAACTACAAAGTGCACCTATATAGTAAGTGGAGCTGATAAAATGGACAATGAGCGTAGAAACAAGGAGGTGGTCATAATGTTATGCCTGATCTGTGTATATGTGCTATAAGGCGAGTTAGCATATTAAACTACACATTGTTTTGCATAGTTTTGGCGATGTGTAGCTTCCAAATCCACCAAATCTATTATAATTATTCATAAATGCGTGTAGAATGATACTGCATGTAGTTTATCCAGTCTCTCTTCATGGCTTAAAATATACTTCCAGGCAGATATATGGCTTTTGAGAAAAGCTGTAACTGATTTTTGGTAAAATATGTTGTCTAATTCAGCGTCTTCCAATCTGTTGTCTTATCATTTGTGTAATTTGTTTAATGCTTTAAGTATTTAATGTTTAAAGTGTTTAATGTCTCTGCCCTGAGATGGACTGGCGACCTGTCCAGGGTGTATCCTGCCTTCCACCCAATGATTGCTGGAATCTTTTACATTTCTTCCTTTTGTTATTTCTTGACAAAACGGAAAAATATGAGTGTACTGACAAACCTGTTGAAACTAAATCACATGCAAATGAAACTCATTATGAAACTTGCAATTAATCACATGAATATTTAATTACTTTGAAAGTGTATAGCAAAATGAGAGTAGTAAGACTTCTAAGGGTTAATTCTGTTACATTTTCAGGAAAAGACAACTCACCATTCATGACCCTAGTTTTGTAGACCAGGAAAATAAAAAAAATCTGAAATTTTGTAGACCTAATAATGTAAAAAATTATTACTTTTAGAAGTGACTAAGGCTTTGTCTGTTGTTGCAGTTAGCAAATATGTGAATGCCTCACAATGACACATATACAGTGCCCTGAGCAGCTCTGTCCAGAACCAGTGAGGCCAGGTCTCAAACATAGGCCTCCAAATATCAATGCTCCATGCTGCAATATCAAATGAAGTCTACACAGATTAATAAATCAAAAAGTCCGTGCTGAATATTACTGCCCAGTTCACACACCCTCTGGCCAGGCTCTGTCTGCTGCAAGCCCAGCATTAGACATGCAAGAATTTTAATGCTGGTGGGGTGTTTATATCAAGCTTCTGAAGCGTCTGTCCCCATGTCGCTCCTGGGTGCAGGGCCATATTGTGAAGAGGTGCCCCACTCTCATCTGGTTCAGAGGCCTAGCATTGTGTCTGCCCACCACTGTAATATACCATGAGAAAAAAGACTCATTGATCTTGATAAATGTCTGATTCATTAGTGTTGACGGTGGGGTACTTTTACATGTGTAAATTTTTGCATGAAATATATATGTTTCTATGAAGTAACTGCAAATGAATTTATAATTTGCCAAATAGAACTCTGAATTTTAAATTATTTTGTTGGAATATAAAATAATCATATGTAATACAAACAGAATCTAGGATCAGTGTTATACAGTTTAGTCCACTTTGTGAGAACACATAATTTATAAGACACTTGAAGGAGACAGCTGTTTTTCCCATGTGCAGAGCACTTTGTCTACTGCTTAACCCACCACTTTAAATACACAGTCAGGGGGATGACTGCATCACAAAGGAAATACCACATCCATACCCCTTCTTTCGGTTTGCAATTTGCATGCATTTGCATGACTTTATTATGCACATGCTCTTTGTTCTCAGGCTGGGAAAAATGATGGTGCCTTACTTCTAAGCCATACACCCAAAAACACACTTGCATATTGACAATGTGGATGTTAATGCCCAGTGTGGACTATGTTACTCAATAGTTCACATATTCAAGATTTTTTCATTGAAAAAAATATGAATGAGTCTGTTTATGCAATTGTTTGTATTGTGTTATTTTTCATAATGTTAATTATTACTGTATCAGTACTTTAATATAGACCCAAAATGAACTTGTGTGTTCAGTGACTTTAGTGTCTTTAATAAATAATGTGTCTTCAGTACCCATAGCTAGCATGTTGAAAAGCATATAATAATTAGTTAACTGACTTATTTTATTTAAAACCTTTCAAATTAAGATTAAAAAATGGCAGTGTCCAAATCTGTGGTTGTGATTCGAAGAAATAGGTCAGGGGTTTGACCTCATTTTCTGAGGCACCACCCACACCTAACTCACCAGAACACACATCCACACACATTTATATTGATCCTTGGCTCAGTAAACAATTCTTTGCACTGATTCTGCTTCACGGAACTGCAGCACAAGCTGACGAAATCAGAAGTCAAGAATGCACACACTCCTTCACACACATGCTGTGAGTGGTCTGCAGAAAATGGCCTGCATCCCTTTTTCTGCCCTCTGGCTCTGCACTCACCTCATGTTGCGTCAGCCTCACTTGGCCAGCTCTGCTCTCTTCTCCCTGGGCTATGACCAAGCTCCCTCTGCACTCTCTATTCCTTTAAAACACAGACAGCAAGAATCTTGATTATGAAGTTGATGTGGATGTGATGGAGCATAAAACCTTGGATCACTCTCTAGGTAAATGACTAGAGACTGATCCTCACTGTCTCACCAAAATTTTGCATCATTATTGGTGTTTTTCCTTTTTGGTACAATTTAACAGCAGCTGCCTTTTAAAATGCACAACATGAATGATAAAAGCGTTGACCATAATACATTACTCCTTTTACAATATATTCTGTAATATGTACTGTAAAGTGCAACGAGAACAGATATTGCATGGTGTATAAAAATAAATCTCCTGAGAAACGCCTGATGGAAATGAATCCACTTCCATCACATGCTGAGGTTCAGTCTAGCTGGATGGAAATGGTGCTAATTAGAAAATTGGTACTCATGGTAACTGGCAGATGTTGTTCAGTGACATAAGCAAAGCCAAGGTGACGTGTGTGCCAGCAGACATTTTGGTCAGTTTCACTGCCAAAGCCATAAGATGGTGGCACAAAGGAAGATTAGCAACTGCACTGGACAAAGAAGTACACAGGGATGTGCATGTACCATAGATGCTGAATCTAAAGTGTATAATTGGATATTATGTAGAATCTCATTATTTAGTTTTGCTTGTTTACTTATTATGTCTTGTCTGTGACATTCCAAATATTAAGTAACATTAATCTTTAATATTTATGTTTTATATATTTAACACTGTTATTAGAAACGTCTTGTTAGAGACCATAAGTGAATGTGCTTAAGACCTGTTCACACTTCCTGAATTAACCAAACACAACAGTTATGTCATGTTACCTGAATACAGGCATTGGTTGCTTCGACTTTTTGGTAGTTATGAAAAGCTATGTTTGAAAATAAAGTGAGTGATGGAGTACCAATAAACTTATATGTACATTACAATGCTGACAATAATACTGAAAAAAGTGAGCAATTTATGTCTATATAAGATTTTCTTTCCTGCTGTTCAGTTTGTGATCAGTCATGTTATGGCCTTAATAATGTTCTGTGTCATACAGATATATTGTCACTATATGTTTCAAATTTTGTGTAAATAAGTCAGCATTATCCTATAGCTTGAATCTTTAATGATCATGCTTATGCCATAATGTAAGCTAAAGTAAAGTACTATATTTAGAGGTACATAATATGCAGCATGTGTCACATTCATATGACTTTGATGAAGTAGTAGGTAGATGTCTGAGTAAACGACTTTTACGCGAATTTTAGCTGTGTATTTTAGAGCTAAATGAACATACATGCCTCAGCTCGCCAACATTAGCATGTGATATCTCACATGCTAATTGCATAATCAATATATCTTATCGCATAACTTGCATATTACTTTTTGAACAAATTAGTTTAATGACGTAAAATAAAATCAAATTAAAAAAATTATAAAATGTCTAAATGAAATTACCGTAACACTAGGCTTGCACTGTCCTAATGTAAGCCATAATATATAAGGTCCATTGTCGCAAGGTTAGTAGTGCTGCTTCGTTTAAACTGGCTGTAAGAGATGATGAATAGAAAATCGCGCCCGTTGACCGTGCTGACAAAGATGCCCTGACCTCTCACTCTTCTGGTCCACTGGGAGTCGCGGTGCAGGCACGTGCCTTACGGTCAAGTTCATCTTGGTAGTCTAATGACTGCTCTCATTTAGCACTGTAGAGATATCAGTTTTAATGTAAGAAAACAAAATACACTGTATGTGCGTGTGCGGGGAGTTCGCGCTCGGTACGTTTGGATTTATGCCTGTGTGGCCTAATCGACTGGTTACGAGCTCAGCTCAGTTCGTAATTTGAAATGCCCAATCTCGCCTCAGTCTTCAACCACATTATACATGCATGCTATTGCCCGTCCATGTCTAGGGTGGGATGGGAAACGCCACCCACCACGTTGATGCAGATGAGCATGGTGCACTTGGGCTTCTTTCCTGATCCAGGTCATTCCCCTCCCTACCCTTCCTCCAATTCCGCTAGAGCTGCCTGTCAAGCGAACCAGCGTTACTTGTTTGTCCCCACCCGTATTTCGCCAACTCCCGCCCTCCTGTGCTAGGACTAGTTGATAGCTCACACTGACAGACACGTGCGTATACGCAAATATATAGAAGCACACGGCCACAGCCACACAGCGAATAATCTGCATGGAAGTATGAACCACTAGCCAATCCTAGAGTATAAGGGCGGGGCGTGACGCAATACGGGTAGGAAACAAAACCAACGCGGGCCCAGACAAGACATTGCCACTTGCCCTCGTGCGTGGGAACGGGGGTGTTCAGGCGTTCACATCTTCCCACGGGCTCTCAACTGAATTAAATAAGCTACAGCCTCTCCTCCAATCCACTCCATTTGTTTTTTCTTCTTTCACATCTCCATTATATTCCAATTATTTAATCTGAGAAGCTACAGTTGAACACACGTGGGTGCAATAATACTGAGAACGAAATCCCTATTTAAACCCCTGTGCCGGCATTAATCTAACAGTTAAAACATTAGTCACCAATCCAGAGCCATTCAGTTGACATATAAATTACCTCACACTTATTTCTCTACTTTTTCTCTGATAAAACGAATCGCCCAGACCAAACCGTAAGTCCTAGAGACATGAAACCTGGTCAATAGGTAGTAGTCCCTCCCGCTACTCAGGCGTGTGACATGAGCCCAATCGGCCTAAAGGTGGCGCTATTACGCAACACAACGCGTTTGGCCCTTTAACTCCTTCCCCAGATTTTTGACAGACAAGACACATTTCTTCCTGATTCCTTGGGTCCAACAAAACAACTTTGTAATTTGGACCATTAAGCTCCGCCCACTTAGATTTTGAGCCAATTTGCATAATATGCAAAAACTACTTTTGCGAACTAGACCTACAGTTTTCATCCTATCCTCATGTTTTTGGTGTCACAAAAATTCAGCATAACCTAAACCTCAATAATTATCCAGCATATTTTTGATTTTGTAAACAATATGGCTGCCATAAGCAAATTAATCCCTCTGGAAAAATCAAAATAATTCTTATTTAATTGAAAAATCTGTAACTCGAGAATCCTTCACCCAAAAAATTTGAAACTTAAAGTCTTATTCCTAATGAGACACTGAGGATGCCTATCAATTTATGTGCGCATAGGTCACTAGGGGGCGCTGTAAATGCTACATAGCTGTTTCTCAGGATCTGTACATTCGACCAAGTTGAAACTTTGCAAGTACCATCTATTACAAAGACTATAAGTGAATCTTTCAGGACACTTTGATATATTTAAATTTATGGCTGCCACTGGCCAACAAGCTTTCAGCAGCCATTTGACAGGCTTACTGTTGGCCAATCCTCATGATACTTGACAGCTATCTCTATCTGACCACCTTCTAACAACCTGCGAAGTTTCAAAATATTTGGCCTCTGGGGGGCGCTATTACTGAAAATCAAGTATATCTTGTACATGTTGTCATTTTTGGTCAAATAACTTAGATGCCCTCATGCAGTGCAGTCTTCCAAACACTTTTGTCATTAGAAGTCTATTAAAAATGTCCATAGTTTTTTTTCAATCGTTAATTGTTTGAAATTAGCACTTTTCGAACTAGTCCGTGGAATTTTAAGCTACCTTCTCAAAACTGGTCTAGAAATACTCTGTAGCCTCTCTAGGTAAATAATTGTCCAGCATATTTTCAATTTTTTCCTCATTATGGTCTTGCTTCAGCACTTAATCATTGCGGCCATGGCATTGCTAGCTTAAATTGCTCTAGCTCATCAGTCATTGGTCCAATCATCTCAAAATTGTAAATATATCTATAAATTGAGACTCTGATGTGGCTTGCAAAATTTGATCCTGATTGGCCAATAGGGGGCGCTTTAGCACTCAAAAACACAACAAAAATGTTGTTACAACAATACTACAAAGTCTATAGATAAATAACCGGTGTCTTTTGATTCAGTTCACTGATCTGAATAACTTTGCAATTACATGTTTTGTCATAAATTGTACTCCTTCTCTGGTATTTTGAATTATTCATTTAAAGACTACAGCTTATTATACCAAGGTCATATAAACATATATTAAGTTTAAAGCCCCTTGCTCCTAGTTCATGGCAAATGAAGGCCTGTTGAGGAACTCAGACCTTTTTTCAGCCTCTCTGCCTCGAAATCCCAAACTGCATTAGGCCTTATTAGGCCTTTCGGCTCAAAGTGCATGAGAGCTTCTTGGGCTTATGCGTGCTTGGACCCGCTCATTGACGCTTGCGGCTATATTTGTTGTTATTATTATTATTATTATTATTATTATTATTATTATTATTGTTGTTGTTATTATTATTACTTCTTGCAAAAAATGCCCACACATCACGATGATTATGGAAACGGTTCTTACTTTCGGTTATCTAGCTTTATGACGAACAGCACACTCATACAGCTAGATAACCAAAGATAATAACACGCCTCCCATGGTGGCACAACGCAATTACGAGTCACATGCTCCAATTACGCAAGTACCATGCCGTTAACCAAGTAAAAGAACGAGTTTATGCAAATGGAAAAAAATAGGACAAACTTCCTTGTAGCGATATGTTCTTGGTCGCAACATTGCAGTGAACGAATTCAGCGTTATTTAAGAGCTTGTCGTTGCCAATCATTGTAATCCTTTACAGCCGTTAGGAGGATGGAAATCTTGGAGGTGAACGCGGTGCATCCATCGTTTGCTGTAACGCTTTTATTCCTCTCAGAGGTTTGCTTTTGCGGGATTTACAGTGCAGTACGCACAGTGCCTCGCGTATCCAGCCCCGAGAATAAAGCTGTACGTCAAACAATAAGCGCAAGATGTAAAGAAAACGGTGGGAGGGTTTGCAAACATAGCGCAACAGCTCGGCACCCACATTTGCTCAAGAGTGTGCCGAAACTGTTAGGGCTATTTCAAATGTAAAGTATCCACACATTAATACATCATCCACACATTAATAATTGCAGAGAGACTGTATAGACCACAGGTTTGATTTTGGCTTGAGGGACATTAAATGAAGAGCACGTGTCCTCCTTGCGCACGACACCGAGCGGACAGAGGCGTTTAAGCACAGCAGCGAAATCAGCACCATCTTTCGAGGTCTGAGGCCTCGTGGCGCGAAGTTAGTACCGTTTTGATCCCGAGAGTCATCATCATCAGTTCAGGCAATGACGCAAGACTTTTAGTTATTTCCGAAGTATGGACTTCTTACTCTACATCCCACTTCGTTGCTCTTTGAGTGCGTCTTGCTGCCATATATTCATCCTTTATATTCATCCTCATTTATTATATTTATTATATTTTTATAGAAAATTCACCATCGTTCACCTGATCAGTGACGGCAGACGTGACGTCACTCTGATAGGTGCATAAATACTTTTGCTAAATAGTCAAATTCAGCTCCACGCAGACAGTGCCCGATTTCTTTACGAAGAACGATTTCTCTATATTTTCACTATTATTTAAGAGATTCTGTTCGGCTGAAAACAACAAAATGCGGTTATGCTGTTCTACATTGTATTAGGATGTTTTAAGCTATTTTAAGCCAGGCGACAGGGCAGTACTTATCTGTAATTAGGAAGTTTTAAAATCATGTTGTACTGGGACAAAGAACAAATATATAAGCTAACAAAATGTATTGCTTTGACATAATGGCTTGTTTCATCCAGGTTGCGTGAACAAGCCCTCAAACAGCGTTTCAGATTTTTACGGATATACCACATCTACAAAATCCATAAAATTTAATCACAGGCCTAAATTAGTTAATAGACACATTTGGCTCACATTGTCAGGGACTGATCGCTTTTCTCACCCCACGACACTGGAAGGCTTCAGGAGAATCATCCACAAAATGTAAAAAACGAACCTTCGATTCAGCGTACGTCTTCAAGCCACATCAGAGTTTTGCTCATGGTAAACATCTCTGTATGTTTTGCAGTAAACGTATTCCAAACCCACGAATAGCACAAGGTGAGAAGCTGACAGAGGGAGAAACTTCATCATCAAACGGAAACGGAAAAGTGGAAGTACACCGCCAGCCTTGCAAGTATAGGGTTTGTCTGTGCGTGTGTGTGTGCGTGCCGTGTGCCTCATCATGCATACACATGCTCTCATTACACAAGACGTACTGGGTATTTTGATTCTTGCATTTGCATAACGGGTCTGTGTATTGTGCTTCATCTTACAAGTAACAATGAAATCATCGATGTCTTGAGCTGTCCATGGTACTGGAAAATGTCTTTCATGTACTTAGAAATTGCCCAACAGTAATTTGAGACAGCAGTGTAACGAATATTCATTTTTATTGATTTATTTCCCAATGCACATTGAGCGACTTTTCGAATAACTGTAAACTACAATTTTGCCTACTCTTGCAGACTTTGATTCTATATAATCCTTCTGTGCAGCCAGCTTTTCATACAAAATATCTACTCAGCACCTCTTCTTTTTTAAGTTGTAGTTATTTATCTTTTTTTTCTGGATCCAGACTCCAGACTGTGAATGAGGTCACGTTCAGTGACATAGTGACTCTTATTTGCTCTGTGCAGCCATATTTAGATCTGAAGTAAATTAGTGAATCACACAAAGGCAATGCAAATCATGCTACAGTGATCACATCAGGAGCCCGAACGCTGAGTATTTTGGACTATGTTTTTTTATATCATTATGATTATTATAATTTTTTGAGGTTACCAAACATTTAAAAGCATATGCTTTTACGATTTTGATACCTAGTGAGAATGCATATTTCAGTGGAGGAAATCAACGTGTAGTAATATTCTTATTAATCTATGGTCAAAGGGGTTCGTGGGAAAGAATGAACACAAGCACATACAGTTCAACATGATTTACTTGAGGTATACGGTAATACGACGACAAATAGTTTATAAGATAACAAAACAATACTGTTGTACGGTTATTTCATTGTCTCATCACACATTAATTCAGATGAATTAAATCAGTTTTGTTAAATATTTTAAAATGGATGTGCTGTATCTTTTGTGAATATTTGTTATCTTATGCTCGGTATGTGTTTTGTTCTATGTGGGCCTACAGCCCATTCACTGCTTCTTTCAACCAGACATTAAAAGCAAAAAAAAAGTGCTACAGTGCTACAGCAGTGTATTAGTAGTGAATAACAATGTCTCGGCTCAGTGGTGGCACGCATATACTTGTCTTTATTCATTTATTTTTTCCATAGTATGAAGTTTTATTTCTATTTTTACCTGAGTAAAAATCGTTCGAACATAGTGTTATTTAGAGCACGACATTATGTTTGAGTATGACCCTCATTTCCCATTACCTAAACTGCTCTGCATACGACAGAGTTTTTGAAATATTTGTTTCTAATTCGTTACATTCGAATTAAGTATCAGATTTGTCAATAAGTTCCCCCACACAAGCGCGCAGATAATTACACGCAGTACTAGCTGGCTACTCAGTATAGTAAAAGTAGCGATTTACAGAGTGAGGTGGTTAGTAACGACGTAGGCTACAGTGTGAAATAAAAGTATTTTACGCTGTTTTTTAGAACATTTAAAGTTAATATATATATATATATATATATATATATATATATATATATATATATATATATATATATATATATATATATTTCATTTCATTGAAGCAGATGCGAGAAATAAAAAAGGTGTAGGCGCGCGAAAGTGTCCTTTTTGTGCGTTTCATTTCGAAATGTAATGTTGACAAGCCGCTACTGAGAAAATAAGAAACTTCATTATTTAGAGCGACTGAAATTAAATTAGGATGCACCTGAGAAGAGGGTAGCGGGTGCTAATCACTGACAATAAAGTATACATAACTTTGACGAATTGGAGGACATGAGCAGGGCATGTTGTCTAATGGCGTAACAGAATTAAGACGTACTGTGTACGATTCCCCTCTAGGCGTAACCTCACCAACCACTACAAAACCGAATGGACTGGATGTAATGAGCAAAGCATCAGCGTTGTAGGAGTAGTGGGCTGTACGCCTGTCTATAAAAGTCAACTAATCTGTTTGTTACTCTGATTGCTGTGTAAAACACTGTTGCACGCAGTGAAGTAAAACATGTTTAAACATGATAACCATTGTCTTTTTCTATCATATAGCTCACACATAATTAAGCACAGCACAGGGTAACTGGCCTCCATGTTGTGTCGCTGCATGATGGCGACATCTAGTGTTAGTCCAGGACACGTGGGATACAATCCCAGAAAGAAAGAAAAACAACGCACAACGGTAGACAATAATACCATGGCCAAGTTCACTAAATGAATGAATAGATGGATGAATGAAGAACTGGATTTTAATCGCAGGGTTGTACTGCAAATAGTAATCGACTTATGTCAGCATAAAGTGTCTGCTTTGTGAGACAACCTAGAGGCATGACCCTTTTTAGCTGAAACAATTACTCTGTAGTAAAATTACACCATTATATCTAAATGGGCGAATGCATGAAAAGATCCTCAGGTGAAAATTAATTACATGTTACAGTATAAAATAGCAAGTTTACTCTTAACCATAACGAACAAAGTTGGAGAATTACGAACACTCTGGCACTGGGTTTCAGGGTAATGAAGTCTTCAGAGCGCTGCCGAAATGCAGGGAAATTCGTTGATTTCTAGCCAACTTATGTATATAATTATATTAACACAATTTCATCATGTTGGTTTTGCGTTACTGGGTTATAATCCACAAGATAATTTATTCATGATTAAGAAAGCCAATCAATGAAAAAGGGAAAGAGTTAGGGAAAGAGTTTTCTGAGTTTATATGTACACTAGCCACACCCAGGCACGATTACTGCCAGACCTGTTGAATTTAAACATCATTTAAATAAAACTTGTCTGGCAATGTGAAGCAGGTTTGAAGATCTCAAAAAGCGGTACATGATGCCAAGTTCTAAAAAGATCCAAATACAGATGTGAAACAAAGTAATTGAAATCAGTCTGGAAAGGATTACAAAGCCATTGCTAAGGCTCTGGGACTCCAGCAAACCACACTGAGAGCCATTATCCACAAATGGAGCAAACTTGGAACAGTAGTGAACCTTCCCAGGAGTGGCCTGCCTGCCAAAATTTTACCAAGAATGCATCAATGACTCATCCAGGAGGTCACAAAAGAACCTAGACGAACATATAAAGAACCGCAGGACTTTTGGCAAAATATTCTGTGGACTGATGAAGACATGGGTCCTGTGGTGTAAAGCTATCATGGCATTCTACCATAAGAACATTATAGCAACAGTCAAACATTGAACAGTCATAATTCATGAAACCTCCATGTTTGACTGCCCTGAGATGGACTGGCGGCCTCTGTCCAGGGCGTTTCCTGGCCAATGACCACTGGGATAGGTTCCACTGACCCAGGAGGACAAACAACTTGTGACTGGCCTTTTCTTAGCCAGAAAGCTGTAGACTACTCCATCTACTGGAATACATAGTGCCAACAGTAAAGTTTGGTTTCCTGTTTCAGCATGACTGGAAGTTAGGTCCATTGTTAGCCACTCCTTCTCATCCAACATCAGTGCTTGACCTCACAAATTGCTCTTTTGACTGAATGGCACAAATTCCCACACTCCAAAATCTTGGGAAAAGCCTTCACAGAAATGTGGAGACTGTTGTAGCCACAAAGGGCAGGCTAACTTCGATGAATGCACATGAGTTTGGAATGGCATGTTCAACAAGCTCATATAGGTATGATGGTCAGGTATTCACAGACTTTTGGCCATGTAGTGTATATCGATAGTTGAGTAGGCTGTAGGAATGAATGAATAAATAAATAAATAAATAAATAAATAAATAAACAGACAGGAACAATTTGTTTTGTTAAAACGTTTATATGGCTTTATTATTGGAGCACATGTGGCTTTACCTCTTTGTTCAACATTGGTAAAGCTTAAAATCACATTCTGGCTCATGTGGTCAACAGGTTGCAACAAATGCTCTGCATTTTTTTTTAATGAAAATATGAGCAAAATGTATTGTACATTTTTTCCACCGGGGAGAGGCAATACATGGCCCAGAGTACTTCTAAGTTGTTATCATGGCCCTTTGATCAAAATATCAACAACATTTACAATAGTTTTATAATAATGATCTTATATCATATTACTTTAAATTGAGTAAGGTCCTTTGCGCTGGGGCCCTGGGTACGCAGTCTTTAAATGTTGTGTGATACCTGACCTTCTCTCTCTTTTGTGTAAATAATTCTGCAAATCCTGGCAGGATATTTACCCCAAACCCATGACCCTCTATTTACATAAATAGGTTGAACCTGCAACACAACAATATTTGCGATATGTTTTGCACATTAGTGAGCATTGATATGTAAGTTTCCCAGACCCAGTCTGTACGTGTATATTACTTGTACAACTCTAAGCCCTGAGACACATCAATGCGTGCATTATTAGTTTATTTATTCATAATATATTACTGAACTAAAAAGTAGCTTTTACCAAACAGGAGTACCAGAAGACTTCTCTTTTTTCCTGTATGCTTGAATACATACATACATACATACACACATAGGTAAATGTGTGTGTATATACTTATTTTCCCCACACACGGCACAAGCAACGCATGCCCCCTAGCCCACCCCCACCCATCCCCTCCCCATCCCTTCCCCCACTCACAAATGCCCTCCTATGTCTCATATACCACTGTAATACTTAACCTAGCACTCACACTCAAAAAGGAAAAATAATACTAGAAGTGAATAGAAAAGCCCTGCCCGAGGGGTGGCGGGCACCGCTACACTCTTCAAACTAAAGGCACCAAAAGGGTCTCTGAATTGATGCCAAAGATGAACCATTTTTGGTTTTGATAGTTCTGTAAGGAATACTCCATTACTTTTCAACCTAAGTGTACAATGTTGCCCAGTATTTAGTGAAAAAAAAGATAGAAAGAAAGAAAGCATTTTGACTCAAATCACACGTATAATGTGGAAGCCTATAAGGAATGTGTGCTCTGAGTGAACAGATTTTTGTTCTGCAGGGAAAAGCATTAAAATTATTGCCCATGATAATCGTCCGTATAGAGATGAGGCTGAAAAACACTATTCCTTTCAAGAATCATCCATAGAAAGCTTCTATAGGAAAACAAAAGTGGTTCTTTTATGACACTGTGGTACGATACTCTATTGTAAGAACTCTTTAGGTTGCTTTATTTTTAAGAGTGTAGCTGGTGGGCGGTGGCAGTTGCGTGCTTAATCATGAGGCCCAGCCCTCAGCCAGGCGCACGCGTTTGACAGATGGACTCTCACTCTCCTCGTGCGAGGGTGGACGCAGCAGTCCCATTGGTGAGTGGAAGTCAGAGCGGTGCTCATCGCGTTCGCTGCCCTCGTAGGAGCTGCCGCAGCTGCTCAGGCTGTCAACAGGCGAACGGCCCGAGTCCTGGCGCAGCAGGGGCTGCTGTGCCGGTGGCGGTGGCTGCTGCTGGGGAGGGGGGTTAGGAGGCTGGGTATAGCCCCCAGAGCCACTCCCAGTTCGGTCTCTTGGAGGAGAAACAGGTTCGGACTTGATGGTCATGCTCTGTGTAGAGGGCAGCGAGAGATTCGAGCTCTGACATAACTGAGTGCTAACACAGTTTCTGTGGGAGGAAAGGAATGCTGGTTACACACACAAGCGGTCACACAAACACATACACTTGTGTATAAGCTCTTAAAATTAAGGTTCTTGCCTTGAACATCTGGCCCTACATGAAAAAAAGCTTTTAAAAACTGTAAAATGCTGTCAAAACCCATTGATTAACAGTAAAAGTATGTTTTCTCGATTTTGTCAAAAATCTGTCAAATTAGTCATTTAATTTCTTGGAAATACTGCCTTTTACTGTAATTTAACAGTTTCACTAGTTCAACTAGTTATTTTGAAATACAGTAAAGTACCATAATAACAGTAAAGCAAATGTCTGTGAAATAAAGGTGATAACTTGTTTTTATAAATGTACATTCTATTTCTGTAAATTAACAACAGCAAAAATACAGTATATGCATGCTTAATTTACATGCATTTTACCTTTTTTGACCATTACATTTTACAGTACTTTGACAGTGAAAATACCTATTTTTTTTCTTTACAGTGTAGGAAAAACATTTAAAACCTTAAAACGTTTTCTAAAAACATCTTCACACTCACATACCTCATCTACAAAAATTTTATTTCATTCAAAGGTTCTTCTGTGAACCAAAAGTAATTCTTCTATCGTATCATTCCAAATAACCCTTTTTGGTACTTTTAGCACAATTATTCCCAATAGTAAGTACAACTGTAAAAGAAAGTACATAATTGTAAGTATATATATAAGCATATAATATTTTAACCTGTTAAATCCTAAGTGTGAGTCCACACTTCAGTTCTTCACTCGCGTAACTACTTTACCTACTTATTAGTTTCATAGCAGTTAATGAATTATACGTTTTCAGATTAATAACTGAATAATAAGAGTAAGATGTTAAATGACCCCTTAAAAAATGTCTCTCATCTCTCACAGTCCTGTAATAAAATCTAAGTTCACAGATATTCCTGGTGTGTGGAATGAAAGCTGGAGGTGGTGCTCACCCTAGGTGTCCAAGAGCTGGGTGCTGCATGTTTTGAAGATTTTGTTGCTGCCACCCTGTCATGGAGCCCAGGTGAAGAGAGCTGGAGCTGTTGAAGCCCGACAAACAGGTCAGGTCTGTGCTGCTCAAAGAATATTCTGCAGAGAAGGAGAAAAACATTTTTCCTACCCAATCTGTATTTAGTGTTGTTAGCAAGTACTAATTATCAAAACTGAATGGCTCCATTTTGCAGTGACAAAAGACTTCCAGATAGTTCAAAGAGCCACAGCTGCCCATGAGATCCAGCTTCTCACCTATTTTACTCATTCAATCTCTATGGCTTTTTACAGATGATAAAGCATGCACAAATGCACACATCAAATCTCTATACATTTTTTGGATTTAAAAGCTCTGAGGTCAGTTACTACGACAATTTAGTTGTAGTGGTAGGATGAGTTAACCCTTTCTTACCTAAAGTATTGTCTGTGATGCATTCAGACATTGGCAATGTCCCTTTTAATCCATTTAAAATGCCCCCCAGAGTAATTGAGAGTGAACTGATGTTCACAGTGGGCATAACAAAATGTATTAGCATGAGAAATCTGGGTGCTATCACTATGTAAAAAGAAGCAGAATGCTGCCTTTATTGTTGGATTTTGCTGTGATAGTTTCTGAGTGAGCATACGCACACATGTTGAATGGAAGTCAGATGGCTAAGGATTATTATGTATTATCCGAATAATTGCACACTCAGTATATTTAACATAATAAAATTTGACTTAAGTGTTAAGTATACTCCTATTTATATATAGCTTTTTTATATAACAAAAGACATCACTGACAAATCCCATTATTAAAAGAGAAGAGTAGATTAAAAGAAGAAACAGCAATGAAATTCATTCTCATTCTCACCTGTACCATATGAAGCAGAGATGGCTAAGGGGTATCCTCCCATTCCCTGCCCAGGCAGAGTGGGTGTCGCAACAGACACCACTGGGGTGGCCAAAGATTGGGCAGACTGGGAGTTGTTTATTCTCTGGTTCTGGGGAACAGATAATGCAGGACTTCAGACATAAAAGAGGACAGTGAAGATGTGTAAGTGCATGTTTAGATATCTCCATAGATGCTGCTTCCTAAATGCTTAATAGACCACATGATGCAAATAGCTAGCAATTACCACTCTACCGTGCAATTACGTAACATCTGAACAACTCTGTCATTTGCCACCCTCTCAAAGGTCTCACTGTTGCCATGGGAACGCCTAAAGCAGTCCCCTTGGCAATAGAGCACTGAAAATGGGGCTGTTTAGTAAGTAAGCGTAGAGGACAACAGAAATATACTGCTTTTATGTTTTTTTATTGACATGAATACTTCAATGCTCTCCAGAAAAATTAATTCTGCAGAAGGATATTGCAACAAATGGAGTGATGGTAACTCAGCAGGATTACTGCATTTAAGGTAAAAAAAAAAGGTAACTGTATGTAGTGGACTGTAATGTATGTAATCACTTTAAACCCCATAGAATCACTACTTCCACAAAGGTCTGTGAGGAGATACAAGTATAACATCTGTGACAGTAATGATTTTATTGTACATTATTTTTCTGATTTATTTGTTTGTTTGTCTCCAGTCTTAATAAGTAAGCCCCTTATACTATGCAACAGGGTGACAAATGTGTGAAGGAAAGGATATGTACAGCTCATCTAAACTGCATGATTTAAGGAGCCAGCCATACAGCACTCTTCTAAGTGTCTAAAAATATCTGTCGGAGAGCATGTAATGTTTGACTTTCTATACATTGTTGTAGCAAGCTGATGTGTGATTAACTCATTCTGAAACTCTTTGCAGTTGATAGAGCTGACCCTCCCCACTTTTAATGCAGCCAGCTGCATTTCCCCCAAACTCAGGCCACAGACAACACATTGCGCAGCTTGGATTTGAGCTGAGCTTTCCTGTGTTTGAATGTCTGTTTTATAGGCAGTGCTTTTACATGAGCCCAAAACGTTTAGTGTTGGCTGTATGTCATTAGATAAATGTGTAATTCTACAACTTACCAGTAGCATGTCAACATCCTCTGACTGGCAGCAATTAAAAGCAAGAGAATGCTCATTAATGCAGGTGATTTCATGGAAATGATCTCATTCAAAGGCATTTCTGTACTGGACTTAGATCTTAGACACAGGCATTTCTCACTGTTCATTCACAAAGTATTGTATGTACAGAAGTCTTTTTTTAAGTACTCGATTAATTATTAATTTAAAATAAATAAATAAATAAACAAAAAGATTTAAATCCTAGATGAATCAGCAGTAATTGGTTGGCTATTTTGCATCATGATTTGATGATACAGCACATTTTAAATTCTTATGATTTCTTTTTTGCATGTATTTTTTCCACACTTTTATTTTAAAGTCATTGTGTTTTCAAAGACTTAAAGTTCACTTTTTCCAGTAAAGTATTTAAAAATTTTTGAAAGGGTATGCATAGTTTTATTATCGTACAGTTATATGCTTTTTGATTGTTTCGCTTAAAAAAAACATCTGATTACTAGATTAATCATCAAAGTAATGGGTAGACTATCTATAGTGACAGCTCTAAAAAGATTATACACGCTGGTCTTAGAGAAATAACTTACAACAGAGGGCATGGTGTTCTTAGCACCAGGGGGGATCAGCACGCGAAGGTCAGGTTTGCGGTTGCTCATGTTAATGGACATGGGTGGGGGGGTCTTGGCCTGCATGCCTTTGTTCATGCTCCCTGGAGAGACCAGCAGACCAGGGGAGTTACGATGGTTCCCATACCCGTTTCCTATTGGAGTGATAGAAATGGGAAAAAAAAGATCTCAAAATCCGTATGTAACCACTAGGGGGTGCTTACACCACAGTTTACCATAGCAGACTATCTGCAGAGTTTGTCTACAGGCTAGGAAACGTATATAATTTTACACTTATGAGATTTTGCTTTAAAGCGACTTTGCTTAAGAGACAGTGCTTTAAAACTATGATAAAAATTTAACATTATTACTAAAATTCAGCATTTACTGCACCTCCTTAGAAGGCATGTAACTATTGCAAATCATATCAAAACCTCGTAATTCTATTTATTCACACCATTTAAAAACACCAGCTGCCCTTTGCATTCAGCGAACTATTGCTGTAGAACTACTAGTGCAGTCAGAACTCGAGATGTTTTTTCTGTCTCGGACATGTCTTGGACATTGGTCTCACCAAATTTAGTCTCTTGTCTGGGCTGAGACCAACTACCATTTAAAAAGTATATTTATTTATATTTTCTTTCTTTTAACTGTCATCAACGCTTACGGACTCATATTCAAACTACTCAAACCAAATCATTGCGTTTGTGTTTTATTTAGGCATCGGCACTGGTTGGATTCTTTAAAAACAGGCACTGGACACCACAAAACTCAGCATTTTAATGCAAGATCATTAATCATATCATGTTAATACTGTTGTCCCAAATGAATCTGTAGGTGAATAGCTTACTTTTAAATGACTCCACTAAACAATGTGAAGACTAAGGCATTTGGACTGGATGCAGAAATAAAACTAGTTAAGGCTTGGGCTCATTTTTATTGGTTTTGTTTATGACCCTCATTGTCATTCAGACTTGGTCTTTAATTTGGTCTTGGAATACTTTACACTCAGTCTTTACTTGATTTCGAATAGTCATAATTTTGGACTCGAGAAAGGTTGTACTGACTGCAGCCCTAGTGTGAATATATCATGACAAATGGATATGGCACAGGTCTTCTTGAAAAAAATCTCCTTTAATTTACATAGATTAAAAGCTAAGAACATTTTTTTCTTCTCCTGTAAAGTTTTCACTTTCACAAAACAAGCTTTAGGTTATGACTGCAAGTATCAAAACTGATACAAAAGGCTGTCTGTGGGATGATGAAGGGAGCCTCGATGCTTACTGAATATGCTTTGGGGGGGATTTCAACATTCCATAAGATGTAAACAGAGGTGCTGAAAGCTTTGTCATATTCAAAGTCATTATAAATTGTTATTCATGAAACTCTTCTTTAAGTATACTATTTGAGGTCCTTTACCTCAATATCCTACAGCAGTGTACTGAGTAAATATCTGGAGAGAAACTAGCCAAGCGAAGGCAGGCTTTAAATCAAACCAGTTGCCTCTATTTGGACATTAAGATGGCAAACATGCATATATGGTAAATATACATCACTCTTACCAGCACTGGTGCCCATGCTGCTGGTCAAGTCTGAACCTATGAGGCCACCTGAGGTAAAGACACAGCAGACATTAAACAATACTGACATGGAAACACATTTGTGGAATACCTTACTGCCTCCCCTTTCCTGCCTTTCCAGAAAAAGCTAGACAAAATCTTTCATCATTTGAGTTGTCAAGCTGTTGCTCCAGTGAACTCCAGATCTGCCGGAGCCGGTGAAAAAAACACCTTTCACTGTAAGTTAGCCATGTCCACAAACCCTCACATGCCCCTATAGAGAGGATGCCACTGTCCAAGAAAAACCTTTCAAAGTTGGCGCGGTTTAAGGCATCTCAGGTCGTGCCAAGACTCATATTTAGTTTCGCTCCTGTAATATGAAGAAAATTGTACGAAAGGGGCCAACGATAATGACAGGACTGACACTGTGGTGGACAGGCCTCCGACCAGAGCACAAAATAGATCTTTTTGACAATAATAACAAGCCCACCGAGGGATTAAACTCCCCAAACATATGCCACTGAAGACTGTCTCTTTCTGTCACTCTCTCCATCTCTTGCCCTCTTCATTCCATTATATATACACAATCTCAGTGAAAAAGTTAAGGGATAATGTGTTCTGAGAAATCCTGAGAAGTTTCAATTCAAAATGGGCCTACAAAGAAAAAAAAAATGTAAGCTGGTTAATCCTACAAGTAGCAAAGACACCCTTAGAGACACTTTTTGCCTGCAAAGAGAAAACCTCAGAAGTTCATGTTTAGATGTTTAGACTATATTTAAGCATGTGTAACAATCTCTACTTCTGGTCTAAATATCCTTTTTTGAATAGTTACACTGAGCGATCTTTTGCAGGGTTATACTTCAGCAAGGGAACACAGTATGACAGCAATTTTCACAGTGTTTATTACAGTCACTGGGGACATGCAGGGCAGTACATGCAGTGAAGACAGTACCTGTGTTGCCCACACTAGGGGGCCTGTGAGTTACTCCTGGAGACAAAGTGTTCCTCGGAAGGGAGGGATGGGCCAGTGGCAGCAGATTGGGGTTGCCTAAGGACCCTCCTGGGTGGCTATAGATCAGACTGTTGGGATTGCTTACTGGGATGGAGACTGGCATGTCATAGTTGGAAGGTGGGATTGTCTGCTGGTCAAGAAGAGGATGCACATGTGCAAATACACTGATAAAAATACAGTGTTTTTCAACTTAATTTCAACCTTCATACGGTTGATCATCACAGACAATAATTTTGATGCATTTCATATGCTTGTTAAAGCAACTGCCCACTGGCTTCAATTACAAGTGACTTCCAAATCAACCGTTTTTCTGTTCTTTTACGAAGTACAGGGAAATGCACTGACATTAATGCCTGTAGTCAACTCAGTTTAGAAACTAAACGTTTATGACACTGTACACTTCCATGCAAAAAATGAGCTAAGACCAAAATATAATGCTCTTTAATAATGGCCTGGTCAGAGTCCAGATTGTCTCACATTAAACACAAATTAACTTGGCAATGTTTTTCAATTGTATGAAGCCATCAATGCTGAGTGGAACAATAATGACTCTTCTTTCTAAAAATAACTGTTGTTTACCCATAAAACCTTACTATTGAAAGAAATCAAAGGGAAAAGCTATCCCACACTATGCAACTATATCTGTTTGTTTAATGATTTAAGATCATTAAAATGTTTAATGTTTTAATATTTATATCTTCCATTTTGGGCTTGGCCCCTTTTTTGCACAGGAGTATACAGCGGTGTTGAAGAAAAGCATACTTACACACAGCCTCTGTCTACTGATCATGAGGTCAATATCCTCGTTGATTTTGCGATATTTATCCTCAGACTCAGGACTGTGGCCTGAATCATCCGCATCAATATCAGGGCTGTCACAGCCATTTAGACCCTTCTTCCTCAGTGTCTAAAAAAAGGCAACAGACTCAGCCAAAATACTAGGATTTAAGACAACATAAATATTTTAAATACAATGATCTACAACCCCATTTCCAAAGTTGGGATGCTGTGCAAAATGTAAATAAAAACAAAATTCAATGATGACCCTATATTTCATTGAAAATAGTACAAAGACAACATATCAAATGTTGAAACTGAGAAATTTTGTTTTTTGAAAAATGTATGCCCATTTTGAATTTGATGCCAACAACATGTTCTAAAAAAGTTGAGACGGGGGCATGTTTAGCACTGTGTTTCATCACCTCTTCTTTTAACAACACTCTGCAAGTGTTTGGGAACTGAGGAGACCAACTGCTGTAGTTTTGAAAGTGAAACGTTTTCCCACTATATAATTTGATATAGGATTTCCGCTGCTCAACAGTTTGGGGTTTCCTTTGTCGTATTTTTCATTTTATAATGTGCCAAATGTTATCAGTGGGTGACAGGTCTGGACTGCAGGTAGGCCAATTTAGCACCAGGAATCTTTTAATATGGAGCAATGCTGCTGTAATACATGCAGAATGTGGTTTGACGTTGTCTTGCTGAAATAAGCAAGGCCTTCTCTGAAAAAGACTGGGTGGCAGCATATGTTGCCAAAACATGTATATATCATTCAGCATTAAAGGTGCCTTCACAGATGTGCCAGTCACCCATGCCATGTGCACTAATGCACTCCTATACAATCATGAATGTTGGCTTTTGAACTGCACACTGATTACAAGCTGAGTGGTCTTTAGCCTGGAGGACACAGCGTCCATGATTTCCAAAATTATTCCAAATAATTAGCATTTGTGGATGCAGCGACGAACTGTTTTCATAGACAGTATTTTTCAGAAGTTTTTCTGAGCCCATGCAGTGATTTCCACTACAGAATCATGTCCGTTTTAATGCAGTACCATCTGAGGGCCCAAAGATCACAGCCAGTAAATGTTTTTTGGCCTTGTCCCTTGCATACAGAGATTTCTCCAGATTCTCTGAATCTTTTAATGTTATTATGTACCATAGATGATGAAAAGCAAAAGTTCTTTGCTATTTTATATTGAGAAACATTATTCTTGAATTGTTGCACTATTTGATCGTGTAGTCTTTCACAGAGTGGTGAATTCCACCTATTCTTTACTTCTGAAAGACTCTCTGGGATGCTCATTTTATACCCAATCATGTTACTGACCTGTTGCCAATTAACCAACAGGTGTTTTTTTAAGCATTATACAACTTTACCAGCCTTTTGTTGCCCCTTCCCAACTTTTTTGGAACGTGTAGCTGCCGTCAAATTCAAAATGGGCATATATTTTTCAAAAAACAATAAAATTTCTCAGTTTCAACATTAGATATTTCATCTTTGAAACATTTTCAATGAAATATAGGGTTTAAATGCTTTGCACATCATTGCATTTTGTTTTTATTTACAATTTTTACAGCGTCTCAACTTTTTTGGTAATGGGGTTGTAATACAAAGTATAACTAATCTTAATAAAACAGTAGAACTACATTAAAATTAAAAGGTTACGTTTTAACTGTTGAATGTATGTGAATTCAAAAACTGCAGCCAAAAAAACAGTGATGGAAAACCAGAGCCAGCGGCATCCAGCTCTAGCATCCAGTTTCAAATCAGAAAACAGAAATTTCCTATCTTACCGCATGAGGGCTATATTTGAATACACACACAAGGCTTGAATGTCTGGTCCCATAGTACAGCGTTCAGCCTTTGACCAGTCACTTAACCGGTTTTGCGTGATTTTGGTCTCATATTTAGTCAATTATGTCGGCTACTATAATATTAATCACAGGACAGAATCAAGGCATTTTGACAGCTGTGGAAAAATATACGAAGATCAGGTTTGTCTCAAGTCCCTTCCAGAATTTAAAACAGTAGACTTTAAAAAGCCCATTTCATGGCTGTAAAAAAAGCTTTAACTTCACATATTATTGCTTTGGTAACAAAACCTCACATCTGAAATGGTAACTACAAAATAGAAGAGAGAGAGAAAAAAACAATGTTGACTTTTGGATCTTTTCTGTTTGCCCCTTCGTTATGAAATGTGCACACAATGTAAAGGATAGCTGGCTGCAAAAACTGAGTTACAAAGTTTTCACGTGACAGGAACACATTGCATTTCTAAATGGTGGAGAACCAACAGACTGAGCAGACCACAGACCTCCACTAGGTGGCATAGTGGGGCTAGTCTACATCTTGTCATGTACAACAGCTAAGAGCATTAAATTATAAGCAAGTATGCAGCTTGGTTTAGCTGTCTGTCCGGCCTCAGCACTCTGCTGTTGTTGCTGGTCAACAGCTATTTCACTCATTCAAGACATCCCCTCCACCTGTCAGTGGCTTTGCACCTGTCTACACAACCTTGCTGGCTGTGGTGGGGTGTGGAAAAGCACTCAGCAGCAGCCAATCACAGACCCAAACCCACTGGGATGGCCGTAGAAGGCTATTTTTGCCCCCAGTGCCACCCAGTGCCCCAGCAACCCTACACTTCATTCCCCACCCTTTACCCTTGCAACACACAACCCCACCAGCACACCATCTGCAGAGCTCTGACACCTCCAGCACAAGCTCTGTGCTGTCTCATCTCCTTTTAATAACGCTGGTCCATTCCCACACCCCAAGCCCCTCGCGCCCCTGACACTAGCAGACTAAACATCCCAGCTGGCAGAGGCAGCAGCAGGGAATGCTTCAGGGCAGGGGGATAAGCTATGTTGAGATCAGCATTCTTTCTCAGTTCATCACTCACTAAAGACAGGACAGAAGACGACAAGAAGAACTGCATCAGTTAAAGCTTGACTTCTGTGATTGTTGAAGATGTACAGCATGCAGACACAATTGATACATTCTCTTTAAGCAAAATATAGCAATAAACTAGAATGAGTTTTGTCAGCACAATACATGACAGAGACATTTGACCATGTCCATTAGGGCCGGACCAATCTGAAAAGTCTGTGACAAATACAATCATAAATGACGAACAATATACAGTAATTATCTACTTCCATTGTTCTGTCAAGTTATCTTTCTTAAAATTTTATCTCATCATTTTTAAATCTGATGCATTTAAATATTTAAATATTTCTTAATATTTATTTTACTATAACCTAATTATGTCATGCAGCTTTGTTTGGCTCCATTCAACATTTTGCACACATCTAACATTTCTTAATTTACATCTTCCTAGTATTCTCCTAATTCTTTGAAACCAGTGAAGTTGCACAGAACTAACATATCATAATTAATTTATACACTAGTTTGTGACCAAATTGGTTTAATATTACTGAAATCCAGGTCTGAAGGTCTGGAGGCAATTTACATGGTTTTATTGTTCTAATCACAATGGTGTTTGTATCTTAACATTGACTGATGATACAAGCCAACCAACTTAACAATTGGACAATAATGTTCAGCACAGAAATATTTCTCTGCACTGAGAGATGCAGAAGAGAGGTATCTCCTTTCTCTCCTACTCACTTCAACTCTATGGAGGCTTGCTCCTAATTAAACCAGCTCTGCATCCCTCTCCCACTTGGCACATACAGCCAGCCAGCAGTCTGTTAGGATGTAGACATGGTGTCCTACATATCGTCTGCTAGCCGATAACCTTCAGCCGAGATGGCTTTCTGTTCTGTGTGCATGCATACTAGCAGGTGGCAGAGTTGGGGGACAGCTGAGTTTTTTGTGGTCAGCAGCTGAATGCTTGACTGCCTGCCTCACCTCGTCTTCTGCTCCCCCTGACACACTCACACGGGGGGTCCCCACACCTCCATCTGATGGAAAACCCTGTCATGCTGCATATCAAGGGACAGTTTTAACAAGGTCACAGCTAAGGTGTCAAGAGCCAGTGTCTTTATGGCCTAAATGACAACATGCATGCATACACACACAAACATGTACACTCACCCCACACATACACACTCAATGAAGGCATCCTGGTCTTCAAAGTATGACATGCCACATCTGAGAATTCTCTTCTGAGATCAAAATAAGAACAAGTGTCCACAAAAAGTAGACTACGTGAGCAAAATGCTACCTCAATGTCTTGTGTGTCAAAAAGGACGTTTGTGTGTGCTAGACTTCATTCCACTACTTTAAGGCTGTGCCGACACATTTGCTCATGCAGAATTTTGACCACCATTGTGGTATCACAAATTAGAAGAGTGCCTACCTGCATTTCAGCACAGCACTGTGGTTTCTTATGGAAAAAGACTAGTGCTTGACACATACATTGGCTGGCTCAGAAAAAAGCGGCAGACATCAAAGTTCAGCGTATTTATCAGCCTTAGTGAAAAACTGGCAGAAAAAGCCCTAATAATGATTTGAAACGTGTTTAATATTAAGAACGCACCTTAGGAGTAAATCATTAAAGCACTGTTTAACCCAAAACTGCTGGGGTTGGATTAAGCCTAGTCTTGGACTAAATTTCAATTCACTGGTATTGTACATTTAAAAATGCTAGATGGTACTGAGAAACTGACTGTTGGAGTTAACCATATAAAATAACAGTGGTTATCAGGTTGATGGCAATTTTTTCATATTGGGCCCTAAAAGAGTATGAACAAGAACAAAACAATGAATAAATATGCTCCTTTAAATACAAAAGAAAAATATACACATTTTTAAGGTCTAAATCCACTTGTCAGGAAAAACAGAAACCCTGAGCACATGAGATTTGTGGATATGGCCTGGCTTGGAGCTTTATCAGAAACAGATGGGTACAGGAGAGAAACGGCCACCAATTCAACTGAGGCCGAGTAAGAGCAGTGGCAGGATCCTATTAGTGTCACACTGACAGACACAAGCAGGGAGGCGCCCATCCTGCTAGGGGTCACATGGCCACCACGTGGCCTGCCCTGGCCCGCCTCCAGGGATCCATTTCCACCCGCCATGCCGACCACAGCAGTTGGGCAACACTCACCAAACCCCACACCAGGGGGCTTTTGGGGCAATTCAGCTGACTTTGAAGCTCCCAGTCCCCTATAATAATAAATCAAAGGCCCCCTCTTTTACAAACCAAGTGCCAGGCGTTTGGTATTAAAAACACTCAAGGGTGCAGTTATGATCACATGAACAGGACTCTCCCCAACCCAGGCCAGTGGATATCCAATGCAACCACAAGGCAGCACAAGAGCCCCCCATAATTGAGTTGAGCTCACCAAAACAAACACAGTCAGACAATGTCCTGCATGACCTGTGTGACTTACAGGTTTGATTGTCAGTTGGTGAAAAATGACACCCCTTTACTGTGCATGCTTCACATGTGATGTTGCGTGGTTATTTTTTAACTGTCTTGTAAATCCTGTATTGTTTTCAGGGGTGGTTTAAGCTTAAATGCCTAATGAATTTGTATGAGTGTCCCCTAGGGCATTTCAGAAAGAGACTATACTTAAAAATGAAGCATGTCCTTTTTCATATTAATTTCCATGTGATTATTCAGCAGGCCTATGCTCTATCCCTTGTTGTTCCATTACAGCATCTCCAGTGGCTAGGACAGTATGGTTATTCATGTTAAATTATTTCTGATCAAGTCTGTCCAAGCACAGTGCAGCTCACTGTCATCCAGTAATGGCTGGACTCTTCTTCTTTTACAGCCACCAGACTGGGCCTGGGCTTTATTGCCGCAGAATGGACTGGACATCACCAGTCTTTCTGTTTCTCATGCTTAGTCTATATTTTGAAGAAGATCTGACACATATGCCATTCATATCAGTCATACACTGTAAAACTGTAAAAGTTATGCCTTGCTATTGTTCACTGGTGATGGTGAAAGGGGGTGGGACCATATGTTGGTAAACACAGGCCACTTGAAAACAGGAGCAAGTTCTCTGAACAATAGCTGAAATGTGAGTGCGTCACTGCCAACTCAGAATTCTGTTCTTTTTTTCCAGGTTACATAGCTCAGCAGATGGGAGATATGAAAAAAAACCAAACAAATTGGAAAGTATGAGGGAGTGAGCGAGGGAGAAAGATCACACGGACAACAGAAGTTTTCCTTTCTTCTCTTGTAAGTGTGAAAAAGTGAAAAAAAATCAGCCATTAATAAGTTTGATTTAAGCTGCAAGTGAAGAACAGAGCTGTCGTCATTCTTGATCCGTTGTAAAAATTCTCCAAGGGAAAAGTGTGTGCGGATCTCCTGCTCCACGCCTGTTTTTCTCCCTTTCCCTTGGCACGATGGCAAGCCGATGCTATTCTTAGCTTGTGCTGCTTTCTATTTTTAGAAAACTACCGGTTTTCAGGCATTTAATGGGGAGAGACGACAGAAAAAAAAGCGAAGGGGAAGAAGAGGAGGATTTTTGGCTTGTAAGCTGGCCGGCTGCACTTCATTTGCGCATGCCTCTGTGAGAAGTTCGTCTGCTCTATGGCTGAGACAGAGGACGGAAAAGAGGCAAAGCAGAGCATGCTGAAGAATGCAAAAAGTCCTCCATCTTATAAATATTCACAGGTCCCAGGCCAAGAGCGCAAAATACAACAAGCTGTTATCAAGTGAAGCAGTAAACCCGTGTTAAACACCTTAAAAAAAGGAGGGGGGGGGGGCAAAAAACAAAGGAGCCTCTCTTTGGTGAAATTCTTGCTGAGCACAACTTAATATGGCAAGGCACTCTTTTCACAACTGTGTAATATTTTACAGTTTATTTTTCCTTCACTCTCCAGAATACCCACACAAAGTTTGTCGTGTTCTTTTTTGTATGTTCTATGAGATTCTCTTTGAATAACCCCTAAGAACGTTTTTGCAAGCACATTTATTTTTCTCATTTTATATCTAAGAACCAGCTCAAAGTAAAGAAATGCAATTTTATTAAACTCAAGTTTATAGATATTATTTTTAGTAGCAATAACAAAATTAGCAGTAATAGTCAGACTGCCTGTCAGACTTGCTACTGTTGTTGTTCTGGCTACAATGTCACAATGCTAATGCAGGCCAGTAAGCTCAACAAATCTGCTTCATGTCTTAAATAGTACTGTCACCAACAAGCTACATTGTCCAGAGAAGGAACAGTGTTCTGGTCACAGCTACATTAACAACCCAACATCTCACAAATGCTACTACAATGCTCTATGACTTCAATTAGAGACACTGATTACACATTTGATTAACCGATGATTTGATTTTAACATTTGATCTCACCGATTAGATTCAAGTACATTCAATTCATATGTACAGATAAGCCTTTTTTTGTAAGTGAAAAAGGAATCAGGAAAAAAACTCACTGCTAAAGAATGTGTTGGCATGTGAGTACATGAAGACAAATTATCTCAATTAAGAGAGAGGAAAACAGTTCGAGGCAAATGTGCCTGAAATGCAGCCAGTGCATTAAGCAGGTCAATGACTTTTTTCAAATTTGAAATAATATCAATGTGCCAAATGCTTAAGGGAACACTTTCCAAGGTCTGTGGGCGCTTGACAGCTAAGTTTGAAGGCATGGATGCGGTCACCTCTGAGAGCTTCAAGCACATCACAACACACAAGAGATCAGTCATCAAGGCTTTTGAGAATCTCATTAGCCTGGCAGGTAGTCATTAACAGTGTGACCTTTGAAAATAATTAACAGACTTTTCCCTGTGCCACCTCATCAGTTTCTCTGCTCATACAGAGTCTTCTGTAGGTAAAGTGTGTGTACAAGTGTGTGTTGGAGGGGTTGCATACCGTTAGATTCAAAGATTAAAATGAGCATTTCACAGATTATGCTAATCAAGGAAATGGGATTATCCTGGCTCTTTGTTAGCTTCGCAGGTTGTCCACAAGATGTGTCTTGCAGAGATCTCACACTGTCAGTTGCATGAGGCATGCCATGCAGTTTCCTCAGGCAGGTGACCCAATCGCTCAACCAAGCACTCAAACTGCAGGTACCTAAGAACAAAAATGCTACAACCCTCAGACTATGTGTATACCAGCTTTATACACATTCTCTCACACATTGTCAGTGTGAACAGTTTACCTGCAGTAATGGTGCTGAACTATGGCTTAGTGGAAGTATAAAGCTTGTTCGGCATAACTATCATGTTGAAATGCATGCAAATAAAGAACACTCCCTTACACTTTTCTATAATCCACATAGTACAATCTTATAGTAATCTATAAAGATCGCTGTACCTTACAGTAAACTATAGGAATTCCTCTAGTTTTTTCCTGAGGGCTATTTTACTCAATGCTTGTGTATCTTCTTAATGATACTGTCTTTTGAGAACAACTCTAGCTGTCTATGATTTCTACTAGCTGTTTTTTTTTTTCACTTTAGAACTGCAGGTGGAACCTATTAGTAGGGCATGGCCAGTTACCTTCATGGAATCAAATCAAGCTGTGTTCCTCTGTTTGTACTAGAAAAGGGGACTTTTCCAAACCATCATCCCAACACTCCCTCTGGGCCCATCAAGCCCTTCATTAAGAAGGTACAGTGGGAACTTTGGCTTTCTTTGTTCTCCACAATAATCTGCCAGGTTTGACAGGTGTTTGACAGGATCTGCCTACTCATGCTGGTCTGAAATGAGTTTTGCAGTCATTTATAATGGCATCAGTTGGGTAGTGGCTCAGAAAGCTAATCTTAGGTCAGCATTAACAGACCACCTCTGCCTCTGCCCAACACCTGACCCATGACCTTTCTAAGTGCTCACATGTCATAAAAAGTGCCAGTGATGAGCCAGCGACATATTAAATCCCTTTGTTGACCACCTGCCTTGGACAGTGGAACCTGCCATGTTCTTTTAAACCTGTTGCATAACAAGGCTGTGACGGAATCAAGCAAATTCTCTATGGTGTCTATTAGCTCACCTTGAGCCACTGTTATTGGCCGCCATGTGCCATGCTTCTGTTGCAAGGCCCATATTTCAACAACACTCTTAAAATTCATGCCAAACAGAAGAGTATCCTAGCAAACACCAACTACATTACAATTTTCATTTCATAATTTCACAAATAATAAGCAAAAAAGTTGTCCCAGCTTACAGATTGTTGCCCGTTCTCTCTGTGTTTATATCTTTAATGAGCTGGCATTGGGCTGCTGTGGATGGGTCGTAGTTAAACAAATAAACCTGCACTCTCAAAAATAAGAACAGAAAGGCTTAAGGCAGATCTATGAAATCTATTTTTCTGAGAACTCAGCCAGAAGGGAACCCACCTCCACAATGTCTGAATTAGTCCGACTCTCATGGGGTTCATTGTACTCCGTGTACTTGAGCAGCACTTTATCCATGTCAGTGCTGGCATACTGGAACAGCTTGTTGGTGCTGTTGAAGATGATAAGTGCGATCTCACAATCACACAGAACACTCAGTTCGTAGGCTTTCTTCATCAGGCCAAACTTCCTCTTTGTGAACGTTACCTGAGAGAAAAAAAAAAGTCTTATGGCCTTTCTGTAAATTATTCAGTCATATTCCTGTCCAGTTTGAAATTCAACTCCAAATTAGCATGGCTTTACTTTTACATGTACATTTTCATGACTCTGACCCATCTAAAACAAAACAGTTGACAACAGACTCTGGTTAGAGAGCTATCAATGCATCACATTCCCTACTAAATTTAGCATAGCGAGTCCAAGGTGAAATTCTGCCCAGCAGGCTTTATAAATTGACTGCCCCTGGGTGGCAGGGTTCACAGTATTGAGTTGGCCAATGATAACATCAACCAGGCCCACAGACAGCAAAAAGCCAGCAACATTTACATACTGTAGGACAATCTGTCAAAGGTTCTTCTTCGATCCCCATTATCCCTTTGCATGTTTCTTTTTTTTTTTTTAGAACATTTAATTATATGACATAATTATTACAATACACTTTTCTTGCATATTGTGTGTATTGCCACTGTCACATCTCTTAACTCCGTTTTTTCTGGTTTTATTTTTTTCACAACACTATGCAACTGCATGTTTCATTAAAAAGACATCAAGAAAACGTGGCACAGTCTAAGGTTTCGCCCTATTGTCAGCAGATGTTCAGAATCCTGACAATGCTGCTAGTCCAATTAAGTCCTGCTTGACTGCATTTAGTGATGTGCAGTAACTGAATAACTGAATTCTGTGTGTTAAAGTGAAAGCAGAGTTTTAGTAAGTAATCTGGGGTGCAGGGTCATTAAAGGATCATTGGACGATGGAACTCTCTCTCTGTGTGTGTGTGTGTGTGTGTGTGTGTGTGTGTGTGCGCGTTTATGTTCTTCATCCTCATGCGTGGACGTCACAGCCTCTGTCACAATCTCCAGCAGGGTGAGCTTCACACTCCTACTGCTCTGCAGTCACATGCTCTCAACATGATTTAGATTACCGACACACACCACACATAGTCCAAACACACGTGCACCAGCAGTGACAGATGTCTTACACACGGGCAGTTGACACATGATCACATTCAGACAGATATACAGATTCAGTTAAACATGAGTTATCTTTCAGAAACATTTCTTTATTATTTAGAAATTATGAATTATTTAGAAATTATTATTTAGAAACATTTTCATAACATCACAAAAGATAAGTAAGGGGAGAAATGTTTGAAAAGCTGCTTTAGAAGAAGACAAATGGTACAGAGTGATGTTCAGAGACACTCTGTAATAATTCCACATGATTAGTAATAATTCCAACCAATTGGTAATTGAAGCAATTAGCCACATGAGTCTGTACATTACAGTCACTTTACATTAATCAAAAAGGCATGATGCATAGCAGTAGAATATTATAAAATATGTTCACATGTTTTCAGTAAATACCTTTTTAAAGTAGAATTCCACCACACAATGTAGTTTCTTAACAGAAAGTTCTGGTTGCTAAGCAATTTAATGGGTAAAGAATAGCACAAAGGTTTTTAATAACGACATATAAATACATAAATTAAGTATTTTACAGCAGCTTAGAATGTGATTTGGCCAGTCGGAGTTTAGAACTGGAACTATCCATTTCGTAACATGAAATAATTCCAAAGGATAGGGCCAGTTAATGTTTTTGAAACCTAAAGCTTCTCCAAACTTTTTATTTAGTTGTCTCAGGCACTGTTTTTTTCTTTTAATTCTGCATCCTTTAAGTCTCTGACCTCATAGTTTCATAGTAAAACATCTTTCAGCCTGTAGCTTACTTTAGATATACATCTTTACATGCACAGACAGGCATGAGGTCACTTGTGGCAGTTGGGGTGTGGCTGAGGTGGTAAACACACTTCACCACCTGCAAGACCACTGAAAGTCAAACATTTCCTACTGCCATGAGGGGACAAAAACAGGGAGACAAAAAGTGAAATACAGAGGTTGGATAAGAATGCAAAGGTCAGAAACACTAGCCCTGCCGCAGCACCAAGGGACAGGAAGCACATTTCAATGCATTTCCTGTCATAACAGGAAGGATCCAATGCTTCACCTCCACACTGGCTTTGCTTCTGCTTCCAGGTGTGGGAACAGGGGAAGGAGAGGAAAAGACGAAAAGATGGATCACAGGAACACATTTATCCTGTCCTGAGCTGCTGTCCACTGGGACACTGCTGCATCTTAAACCACAGTTCATTTTGCACAACACTTTTCAGCTCCAGTGCTCAACTGACTTATGCATGCTCCAATGGTTGGACAAGCTTTGGCGAAAATGTTGGAGTTTAGAGTCACTACATAACAAGTTCATGCTTCTAAGTGCTCTATTACAAAGATGAATTATGTATGTACCAGGCATTGCTCACATTTTTTCAATGCCAAAATTTTGTACTGATACCTAGAAAATTAGTCACAGCGATGTTAGATTTATTTAGCAGTATAGCAAGTGTTCAGTGACACTGCTGCAATTTGTAGCTGCACTTTGTTCACCAGACATGTATGGAAGCATATCAGTAGCAAAATTCAAATGAAAATGTAAAATGTAAAATGGCAATGTATTATTATGTGTGAATTTAAATTTCCCAATGCAATTTTTGAGTAACTGAAAATTAAATTCAGTTTTACTATTTACCATTTCATTTGGCATTTGGCATTCTAGCATTGACATTTCATTTACACAGAGATTTAGATGCCTTTAAAATAGCTTAATTTAAATTAAAATGTATGTTCAGAACTGCACATTTGTCATCAATGTGATTATGCAATAATTGTGTCGAAATGAGAACACTAAGTTAGAAAGATGGCAAAAAGTTAAATGTAAAAAAGGGAAACAGCGGCTGTCCTCTTTGCAATTATATATTCTGGTCTATTGTGATCATGCTGTGGTAAAACGTCTTTGAAATGCATTTGACAATACATTCGACCCATTTGCACTGTTATTGGCCATTTCTCTGTTATTGGCCATTTCTCCATTGGCAGGCGATTTATCGTTAGAAGATGAAGTGAAACCGAGCAATATATCCACTTGTTATAATTACTTTATCTACTTAATCTTTAATCGAATGTGTGACAGATTTTTCTGTTAGCCAGCTGGTAAAAACAGCAGATCGGAGCATTGTTTGGGAATGGAACATTAGCTAGAATTAACAATGCTTTTAGCTAAATTAATTCTGCAGCCTTCCACAATTCACGTAGCATATCATCAGGTGAGGAAATGGCAGTACAATATATCCACGTCTGATGATCACTTTGTGGAAGTTATCCCTACTTGGCATAAATTGGAATCTGTATGACAGGCCTCCTCGCTCCCTTTGTAAAGTCTTGCAGCCACTCTCAGATTATAAAACGATTGGCAATAGAGCTGTAACGTTTGGCCACATTTAGGCCCCACAATGTTCCACACTGTTTAAGGTGGAACGGAAAATACGCAAAAAGAAGCTGCTTAATTGGACAAGGATATTTTATGCCTTGTTTTTATAAACAAGGCAACATTTTCAATGAAACGCTTTCTCATGCCATATATGAAGACAGTAATCATCACAAGTGGAAAAACTACTCTGCTTCACCTCATCCGCTAACATAAAAATAGCTATAAACTCTTCAGTTGCCATGTTTTTAGATAAAGCCTCTCTCGCTGAGCATGCTGTTGGACCCTGCCCTGATGGAATGATTGACAGGTTGGAAAGTCTATGAAAATGAAAATTTTCATTGTATGTCATTAAGTTTATTTAAAGAGAAGATATGTTTATGTTGGGCTGTTTTACAGCATTGTGTTATCTTTGTCCAACTTTGTGGGTGGAGCATGAACAGGTCAATTCACTATGCTTATTCTCTCTATTAACACAAGAGCAAGCATCATGGGTACACTAGATTCATTTATGACAAACACATATACTTTGGAATTTAGATAGACGCAAAGGTATGAAACAGTCCATCTAAATTCTCAGGAGCTACTAGAAGGAAGCCAATTCAGTTCTCAGGAAAAGCAGGTAGAGATTATAATCTGCTTGGTCAGAAACCACACTGGCATAGTGTGGTGATAAGTACAAGGTCCAGTTCAAAATAATAATTTCACATGTGGCTTGGCACTTCTAAAAGTGATTTGTCCTTTCTCATTGCTTTAGTAGTGACAGTTTCGACATTTCACGTCATGCAAAATTATTGTCTACAAAAATTGCGAATTATTGTGTCTATCTGGGAAAAAATCAAGTAAAATATGTACAAGGAATTAACTTATATGTTTTGTGTATGAGGTAATACATGGAAAATCTGCACACCGTTCACTTCCACACGAAACAACAGGGAATTACTATGAACAGAATTCTTCTTGGCCTGGTTGGCGAGCATTAAAATGTCTCTAGCAGTGGGTGAATGGTCCACAAGGACAGGGCAACAAAGCACTGATCTAAATAACATATGTAACAAATGATGGAGAGAAGTGGCAGAGCAGGCAGTGACCGGTTAAGGGACTCAGTGATTAATCGGCACACAAGGTTTTCTCTGCCCTTTTTCTCTGCTAGTGTGTTGAAGGACTATGCCTAAAATGAAATATCCATGCTCCACCTACAAATGTATTCATTTGCAGCAACTGATGAGAAGTAGGACAAGCTTTACAGAAAGATTCACTACATTGCAAGTTTACAGGTTAAATGGACAATGTTGTTGTAGCTAAGCAAAATTTACCACAATGCTAACAACAGATTAATTACACAACTAAAAATTACACCCAGTCTAATCAATGTGAGCTTTCACATGCATATAAAAAATTAAAATAAATAACACACTCTAAATTTTCATATTTTGATAAAATTTGAGACCATTATGTTCCATAAATTTTCACTTCCAAGTTGAATGGGATTTTTGACAACAGTTTGTAAAGCTTTCCAATCTCGCAACAGATGCTACAAAGCAAAGCTCTATGCATCAAACCATTGCACATGGTTGTGCTCTTATATATTCGGAAGAGTCATGATTTCACAGCAGTTCTGACAGACAGCGGTGAGTAGGCCTGCACTCCACATTTTGGGCCTTTCAAACCAGGCCCAGTTTTCTTTGGGTAAGGGTACTCTGGGTACTGCTGCTATAAAACATGGCTCTTCTGAATATATAAGAGAACCTGAAGTGCAGGCCATTATAGTGCAGAATAACATGTAGAACACACACACATGCACCAACATACATAGCACATATAGGCAAGTTAGAAGCAGCTTGAGCTGAGTGTGTGAGAGTCTTATGACACTGTGACGTCAGCAGCTGCTGGCACTTCAGTTAGTGATGAGTGTAATGTGTGTCTCTGTGAAAATCTGTGTGTGTGTGAGAGAAGAGGCGGTGAGAGAGGGAGGGAGAGAGAGACGTGCCAAAAAGACATATAGATAGATAGATAGATAGATAGATAGATAGATAAATCAATTTTTTACATGTCTGTTGCGTTCATCCATAATTCGTGCAATCTGAATTTTTTTCCTCCCCATTGTTCCGCTCTGACAGTCCTTCCTTTTCCAAAAGTATTCTTTGCTTCCTTCCTTCCTTCCTTCCTTCTTCTCACGTTCCACTCTTCAGTGCAGTCTTCCTGCTCTTCTTGCTCCTCTCAGTTCAAAAGACTCTGGCACTCGTTTCTAAATGGGCAGAGAGAGAGAGGGAGAGAAAGAAATTGTATCAAGTAACAAGTCTGAAAACATGATATTGCTCTGTGGTTAAAGATGGTAAAGAAGAAAACTGGCTGTCATCAACAGAGATAGCAATGCTATACCGAAATTGCATTGCTTACAATTTCCAAAAATCTTATTCCATTGATTCCATTGATTCCATTGACCTGGAGGCCCGTCATGGAAAGTATGTTTTACTTTTTAGGATAACCTCTGATTAGCTCAAGTTTTAGCTAGCAGAAGACCTGTGCAATGGTGTTAGGCTGGTTAAATGCATTTGAGCGTTATATGTTACACTTGCACCCCTTCTGTAAGCTAACAGAGCAGGCTAAGTTTTGCAACAGTCCCCTGAGAGACCAAGCTGCTGGCTGTAGACTACAGCAATATGGGAGGAAATACATTGAAGGAAGGCCTCAGATGCAAATAAGAAAGAGTACTGGGCAGCGAATGTGAGAATTAAACAGTCTTCAAAAAATAATAACAGTTCTACATATTATGGTTTGGAAGAACCAGCAGCGTTCTGCTTCTATAAAAGTATATATATATTCATCAGATCTTTCTAGTGTTGTTTTGACTTGGTCACCAGTGGCAGGTACTAATCACATTTTGACCTTTTATTCCTGCCTCAAGTTGATTCCTAAAAGCCTCAAGATTCAAAGGATTTGTGACAGGAAGCTTGTGAACTTACAGCAACGATGCCACTGTGGAGGAAGTTACAGGAATGTTTTGACAGCAGCTAGGCGTTTGAATTTGAAAGACATATCAACTGATGAAAACCTCAGCAAGTTCAGTTACTCTCTGTCTGCGAACAGAGCTGAACAAACTGGCAATGCTAATAAATACAGTACAATAAAATCTACAGAGTTATGAACAAGGGCAACATACAATGGTGAATAAAAATGTATTCCTTTCAGGATGTTTATTAGGATTTATTTATTAAGAACAGGTTTCATTCCAAGTACATTTGGATCCATTTGTCATGAAATGTTCTCTTAATATAATGCACAGCTGGCATTTACAAGGTCTTCATTTGACACCAGTGACTGTTTTATTAGCTTCATTAGGTGTATTTTTTTTGTGGTAAATATTCAAGTGCATATTTCAGTGGAAACTTTCAATAACCCCACTTCTTTGTCAGATGACATGCTGCTTGTGCACCTTCGCTAAAACCCTTCACAGCTTCAACTGAGCAGTGCTTAAAGTAACTCTAAGCTGCTGGGTGGGTCCTTTAATCCATTAAACGTGGACTTAAAATCATTTGTTTTAGCTAATGCTCTGGTGTGCAACACATTCATGATTTTCCAGCTGAGCCCACTAAACCATAAATAATTTGACTGTTAGCCAAATTTTAGCTAGTGCTTTTTGGTTAAAGGCTAAATTAGGCATTTACATAGACAGTTCAGCTCCTATTCAACTAAAAGAAGGAATAATAAGAATCACCTATTACTGAGTCATTTGAGATTTTATTTTACAGTGGTGCTCAGGGTTGTGCTGTAAGCTGTTTCTAGGTACTTACTACGGTACTATAGGTATATACTTTAAGGTACTATAGGTGTAAACTTATATCCCTTTCCTTTTTCAGAGTATATCATAGCATAGAGTACGGGTGTAAAGATTCACAAAATTCAAAATTTGGTTTGATATGATACGGTAGTACCTTGCTTTGTTACATTTTTCAGTACAGCAAAAATAAAGAGTGCTTAATCTATCTTTTGTTAATATGTGAATGTTCCCATTTTTAGTTTATTCGCGCATTTAACATTATAAAAAGTCTAATATTTTATAATAATGCACTAACTACAAGCTAACATGTTAGTTCCAAGCTAACACACACTTAAGAGTAATGTGCTTTTCCTCCCTGCTGTCAATTTGAAGTGATGAGGAAGCAATTTTTTCTACCCTGAGAGGTTTCTTCTGTTTAATTTTCATTATACTTCACGAAATATCATTAGTATTACACTGCTTTATTTGCTCCAGTATGTTGAATTGAGAGGGATATACAGGCGTCATGATTAACTGATTAAACAAACACACACACACACACACGCACACATACACACACACATTTTCTAAACCCTTTATTGTTCTGGGTTGCAGGGGTGCTGGAGCCTATCCCAGCGGTCACTGGGCAGAAAGTAGGATACACCCTGGACAGGTCGCCAGTTCATCGCAGGACAGACACAGAGACATATACATTCACACACATTCATACCTAGGGGCAACTTAACGCATCCAACTGGCCTGACTGCAGACGCGTTGTCACCACGCACACACAGGGAGAACACGCAAACTCCACACAGAAAGGACCCTGGTCGCCCGGCTGGGAATCGAACCTAGGCCCTTCTTGCTGTGAGGCGACAGCGCTACCTTCTTGATAATTTAGCAATAATTAGTTGGTATGATTTGCATGATGATTATGCATATTTGTATTCACCTGCTGGTCTCTTTTACAGTAAGACAAAGACCCTAATAGACACAACTATTAATAAGCATTTAAAGTAGCAAGATTTAAATGTGTCAGAGCCTAATGGCACAAGAGCTGGGAGGTCTTAAAGATTTGTATGTTTACCCATGTTACAGATTTAAAAGCAGAGGGAAATGAGTGAGAAACCCCACAGAAAGGCTCCACAGAGAACTATGTGGGTCAGTGCATAACAAAGCAATAGTCCACCCAATGTTATCAGTAATAAATGAAAATTAGGAAATTTAGCAATGCTGTGAAATTAACAATTTGGTCATTTTGTTAATTAGCTCCTTAGCTCCTAACATCAGGAAGGGAAAGGGTTCTCAAGATGTTGTGAGAAGCACCATAGTGTCATAGAAGTAAGATAGTGGCAAGACAACACTTAGCTAGCACTGAGCTTGTCTCCTGAGCAAAGCCATTAAGCCTCAGATAACTCTCAATGCGGCTTGAGCAGAGACCTCATCAGCACCTCATTATAAACCCGCTTTGAGGAAAAGAAACAGCAGAGGTATTCTTGACCACCATTCTCGAAATTAGATCATATGCATTACAAAATAGCCATCCAAAGTAATTGATTACACTGAATTTTGGAAAGTTTTTAAGCAACAAATTCATAACATAAGCATTCTACAGTGCCCAGTTTAATTTAAGGAAGATCATAAAGTCAGAAGAGACAGTGAAGAGACAGGCAATGACATTATTTGCTCAAGTCTGCCAACACCTTTGAGACTGAGGCATATAACCTCATTAACACCATCTTTCAGGGCATTTGAAGCACTAAGGAGCCTTGCCAGGTTGAAGAGGAACTTGTCAGTGCTTGCTGGATCACATTGTCAGTGCTCTTGGCAGACCCCAGAGTTGCCAGACGGCTGACTATGTCTCAAAGAAGGAAGTGTCTCTTCGTGCACAACACCCAGCAACTCACACAGATGGACAAAACGACAGGAAACCTTTGCAGAGATGCTCTTGGAAGGATGTGACATCATAGAGGAAAGACAATAAAAAAGTCCAAAAGGTGCTTCCTCTCACCAACTGCTCCAAACTACAGAAAAATTAGATAAGGCACCCACAAAAATGAGTATGAATAGCCACAAATCAATAGCCGGTAATACAGACACCCCAAAGTTATCTTCAAATGAAGAGGACCAAGGCTAGGTTTACTGAAGCATACTTCCTTAAAGTCTGCTTCAAATTTTGTGTCACATAACATTTTGTGATTGAAACACGTGTCAACACAGCTTAAAAATAATGACACTGTGTGGACACTGTGTGAACATGTAAAAGTCCAGACAAACCACACTTCTCTTTAAATATTATTTCTGAATAACACATTTGAGGTGTAACCATATTCAGTTTTGTACCATTGCTGCAAAGGATGTCCTTTCAGAAGATAAGTGACTATGTTTCTTCTTTAATGTAAAATGTTTCTTTTCAGATGACTTTCACAACTTGCTTTCAATCAACATCTCTTAACCATCTCCTCAAAATGTGATTTTTCAGCCTTTATTTCAGTCTTTGCCAGTGCTGGTCTCCAAAAGATTTGACCTGGATCTTGGCTTAAATCAGCTGTTGCAGACCAACAAAGTTTTTTGCCAAACAACTACAAAAGATATTCTAATTCTTGTCTTTTTCTTATCTCTATTACTTCGCTTTTTTCATGGTGAGGACATTAAGATCTCTATGTTGTCTGTCTAGGGAGAAAGCTACAGCTCACAGCAGTGACAGCCAAATGTCTGTATCAATCAGAGCCGGAATGGGGACAAGCCACTCTCCACCCCACCCTTTCTGCTCTCCTCGAAACTTCCCAAGGACAGACAGGAGATGGGAAAGTATCTGACTTCTCACACAGAGTGAAATCACGCAAGCTGTAGATGGTGACCATTCTGCAGACGAAGCCCAGCTCCTGCTTCGTTCCTATGCCCTGACCCTGCCATTTGTCTCAGTGAACTGTGGAGAGTTATTACATAGCATAACCATGAAGCTGGCTGCTTAGAAGTGACTTTGCAGGGCCTTAGTTATTCCCATAGACTAAATGTAACTAACTTACTGTGTACTGAAGCATACAAACTCATTAACATATGACTGTTCCCTCAAACTGTTAGCACATTTTGTGTACCAAATTACTTCTCTACTCTGCAAGATGAATCAAGTGATGCTTTAGATTTTGCCTCAGACTAATGCTAGACTTTTAATGCCTTAATTACAGATCATCAATTTGTCACATTACACTTCAACAATGACAACAGCTCTTTGATATTATTCCTGCACATTCAACTTCTCACATCTTTTCATTGGAGACTGTTTCATACTTTGGCACGGTGCGGTTTTGGGTACTAATTTGCATAGCTTCCTTTTGCTGTAGAGATGTGTGTCACAGCTGCGATCTCACTGTGTGGGCTGTTTATGCACTCCACCACTAACCAGTGCACTCTGCCAACTGACACTCTGCGGCCCCATCCAAAGCCACATGCAAAGATACCATCTCTCTTCTCTGTGATCATTTTAG